ACTTTTCACTGATTTTCATCATTTACTGAACTCATGAAAATAATCTTTTCAACGTTGCGAATTTGTTTTTACAAATACATTAGTTCATGTAAACAGTACCTCGGTTCTAGTAAAGGAATATTTTAGTAAAGTCAATTTCAGAACAGTTGACTAGCAGAGTATAAGTGGCTACATTTACACTATTGAGTCTAAAACTTCTTTTGATGGAGTAGTATATGGTTAGTTTACACGCATTTCGACCCCCAAAATACACAGCAAGTGGAAGAAAACCCATCATTTGGTTATATCTCCATCAGTTTGTTAAAAGCTTGTTCGTTATACGCAGGATTATCCGCATCAATTACTGTAGTTTTATTTACAGGCAGCCCGTTAAACAACATCAGCATCCTGAAAGATCGGCACAACGGAGAGTTATCCGAAGTTTGGCTTACTACCGGTAATACATGAATAAATAACCGTCTTTGGACCTGACAACTACGTGAGTGAGAGTGGAAGTTTAGTTTTACGCCGCTTTTTAGCAATAATCCCAGCAATATCAATGTATGTACACCCAGAAATGGACTTCACGCATTGTACTTAACTGGGGGAATGAGACCGAAGCCTTCTACGTGACAGACAAAACGCTTTTTACCACCGCCCCTGAACAATCGCCAATACGTGAGGGATAAGGCATATAATTTCGAGACTTTGAAGTACGTTCGATACAACTGTAGGCTTCATTTTTCTAGATAAATTCGTAACCCTTTCATAAAGAGTCTTACTTATACGATATCTTTGAACTGAGTAAAAGCGTTCAGTATATCATCGAAATGCCATCGCCATTGAAAACCCAACCAGTCACCCCGATGTTAGAAATGAGGAAGATTTATGACAAACACTAAAGTTTGCTGGCGTAGAAGACTGATGAAGAAACGTCTCCGTCTGACAGCTGAGAGGCGTTACCGTCGTGGAAGTCGTGATGGGGTTGAAACCCGCCTAACGAATGCAACATTGCATGTTGAAATGTAACACCGTTACCAGAAATAACCGTTTATTAACGACCAACCGGCCTTCAATGTCCAAAAAGTCAGTGCGTGTTGCGAAGGATTGATATCACCTTGTCTGGCAAAGATATGGACGCTAGCAAACACTCACGCATGTGTGAGCACGGAAATTCGGTCTTTTGAAGGATTAGAAGTGTTTAGAAGGGACAGGATCGATGTATCGATTACAGATGACACAGGGTTTGACCTGCGGTGTGCGCCAATGGTTCTATGCGCGTTAGAGGTGAACTGTTGTTTTGTTGAAGGCAAACATTACCGGAGTTCCACGTGTGGCGTTAAATACACGAGGTTTAACGGCTGAACTTTACAGTACAGCGCATGTTGACGTACACCTCGCACACACTGACATCGATGTGATAAAAGTCGACTTCTTGGTTTTTACATACAGACCAACGTCACATATAAATCGACAAATACACAGGTCGCTTGTCACTGAAGACTATTATCAACCAAAGAACCTCCTTTACGACCATGTGCCAACGAGACGGAACCCAGCGAGTACTCACACCATTGATCGTTCAGATTACATCGGCAACATTTCCTCGTGAGCATGTCTCCAAGCGTTGCAGCCTCCACTCTACACATTGCGTTTTGGAACGTTAGGTTTCACAAAGATAAATATAGATTCCGTGAGGTATATAAAGCCACAATTCGTTTTTATTGAACAATGATACTGTCACAATCACACTGCATAGCGGTCATGTGTATGAGGGGTAATGGAGGAGCCTACTGTATACAAACCCATGAAATATTGACGTTGTTAGTCAATGTTCAACATACATCACAGTATCGTTATGTTTTAGACATGTTTGAGAATGCCCTGAAGTACTTTATTAGGCTGTTTGTCGTTTAACGCCACCCTTATCAATATTCCAGCAGTCTGTAAATAATCCATTCTGGACCAGACAATCAAGTGACTGACATCATGAGCATCGATCTACGCAATTGGGATAGGGTGACATGTATGAACCAAAGTCAGCAAGCCTGACCACCCGACCCCGTCCGTCGTCTCTACGACATGCGTGGGTTGCTGAAGATCAGTTCGAACCCGTTTCTTCACGAGGTACTAGCGTTCTGGTAATGATACGCTGTGTTAAGGTGTCAATACCAGCCTGATATTGTCCATCAGTACATCGGAGTTGCGTCCCCTGAAATACAATCATCTGATTTCTATCTGTATTCCCTGTGTTTGCTCATTCATTGTGAAAACATTAGTTAACTAGGGACAGTTTCGTGAACTGATTCAGTTTCTAGAACAATTTGTCAAGATGTAAGCTGTACAAACGTGATATTATAGTTTACACTTGGGTACCCCTGTCGTGTACGGCGCCGTGAAACACTGTGCGGAGTTGCGTCCCTTTGATGTGACAGGAACCTATGATTGAATCCACGATTCGCCTGATTGTCTCCACTTAACGTTCTAGGTGTAACAGTGTCACATCCGAGTATATGTGGGTTTCACAAAGATGATTATATCACAAGGGCCTCCATTTATTAGAGTTTTTCTGCCACGTCTTTTGCCGAGATATAAATCGAAATACCTGTTCAAAACAGCGTCAAACCAAACACACACACAAAGATACGTCTAGAGAATACGTAAGGGAAGTCGGTAATGTCCGAGAGCGCTCGTCGTAAATCATCACGGAAAAGGACGATATTGGATGAATGCTGAAAGGTCATTGTCAAATATTTTTATGGTCGACTTGAGGATAAATTTCCTTTTGGAAACGAATATGTAAAATTACTAGGTTTGCCATTGGTATATTTATGAACGGTGTTACGCGTATGCCTATTTTGATTTATGATAGATTATCTTGGACCATGAGTTTCATGCAAACTCTCGGGCAGCCCATTTATCCGGGATATCAAATTACCCGACCTTCATTCGGAACTCCCCATGTAAATTCACTGACTACCTCGAGTGAATCTTCCTTGTTTAATTATTCCACCAAAGCCCGTTAGGAAGTTTCGCTTTTTAACGGCTCATAATCACGACAGCGTCATCTGAGAATCTGGTATTGCCCCCGAACCAATAACTCTTTCCATTGCAGAATGTCCTCTTTTTGTTAATCTTCCTTCGTCGACAGCCAACGTTTCTTTTAACTACACTGTATTTTCAAACATTTGAACCTCGTGGAATCCTTCACAAGGAGGCGACCACATACATTTCGAAATCGGTAATTTCCGAGAGTTCTCGTACGTTATCGGTAATTGTTACACCTATACACAGAAAGAGACGGGTGGGAGTAGTACTAGGTCGTGATTGTGTTTAAGATGGGCACAGTCAATCTGATACAATGTTAAGGTTATGATACTGTTGATATATATTGATGTTGTTCATCAATGCACGCCATGTTTTATTACCTTGATTGTTAACTGTCAACAAGATGTATGTTTGTAAAACAGTAACACGTGCAATAAACAGTTAACAGTTAACTAGTTTGAATGCTTCCAGACGTGTTGGCAGTTTTCATATCCTGCGTTAACCTTTCACCAGAAGAATGATATCGTTCCTTTCAAGGGGACTTCCAGAATTATTCAACTGTGAAGACTTATCTGCCGATGTACGGATTAACGGAGTTTGCTTGCAGGTTACCTACTTTACTGAAGTCATAGGCACTGGAGGGGACATGATATACTGGCGGTTACTTGCTATGTCTCAGAAACTGCAGATCGATTGAGTCATATTACATGTAATGATTTTTGATAGAGTGGTGCGCAGTGTGATGGTCAGTTGGCTGATGGAAACACACTGGACGGGTTTCCAAGGCGTCTTGTGCTATACACATATTAAGGTTATAGTTTAACTAAAACCGTCTGAGATATCACAGAAATATAAGCAACTTATGCAACAAGAGTGCTAAGAAAACCCGCCTTGAACCTGTTCCGTGGTCAAGCGTGAATGTACAAAGGGAGACCACTCTAGTTTCGTTATTCCGCGGCATTATTTTAGTGAATTTCAGCTGAAGTCTGCTGAAGTCTGCTCTAGGACTGATTACAAATAAGTGAACTGCAACACAGACACACAGACTGAGAATCTGCAGCTGTGACTGTTTGTATCTTTCAGATACGATGGCATGCATCAACCAAGTAAGCGAACCTGGTCCCATAGACGCCTCTTTCGACATGAAGATGCTGCTGAAGTCCAACTCGAACCCCGATCTTTAAGGGTCGATAATAATCTAGACAAGGGACAATCAGGATGCAAGACAGATGTTAAACAATGTGTGTGTCTAGGAAGATAATACTCTCGGGTTCAGCAGCCTGCCATGTGGTGGCTCGCAAGTACAAAACGATCAACTACAAAATGTTTACACTTTTATCATTATGCGTCAGCAGACAAAATATATTCACAATATATAAAGTAAAGAAGCGAAAAGAAAGTCCATTTCTCCAAGATCACGTGATCTGCAGGGTAAAATCCATGCCGCTCTTTCCGACCCCCAAGCCCACGCCGACACCACCCAAAAGGACATGCCCCGTACGTCCATGGGGAATTTTGCTTGATACGCATGCCTGTAAGAAACAGAAGTAACACCATAATCCAAGAGAACCATACAAATATACAAAGAGACACGCAGCATGCACAGTTTTAGTAATCATTTGCTTCACTTCCACTCCCAACAGAAGGACCACTCAGACTAACCTCGGACTAACCCACTGAACTGCTGTGTTTGACCCTCCCTACATTCGGGGGTGACGCACGTGGAATCTCATCTACCCGCCACAGCCCGAGTCCCCACTTTCACATGCAGTCGAATGGGACTACTTCAAAGGTACATGAACCCGCCCGACCTGCTTGACCCCACTACGGTCACGCGCATTTTACGACCGCTTTTCTGTGCTACTCTCAATATCGGTCTCCCTGAGAAACAGCCCCACCTGCTTCACCCGACTTCAGACCCCACTTTGTCAGATCCAAGGAAGGCACAGAGTAATGAAAACAGACAAAATGTGTACACCTTCATCAATGTGTATTCACAGTAGAAAATAAAGTTTTTACAACATATACAACTGAAATGAAATGAAAGTCTAGTTCTCCAAGATCACGTGATCTGCAGGATAAAATCCATGCCGCTTCTTCCGACCCCCAAGCCCACGCCGACACCACCCAAAGGACATGCCCCGTACGTCCATGGGGAATTTTTGCTTGATACGCATGCCTGCAAGAAACAGAAGTAACACCATAATCCAAGAGAACCATACAAATATACAAAGAGACACGCAGCATGCACAGTTTTAGTAATCACTTGCTTCACTTCCACTCCCAACAGAAGGACCACTCAGACTAACCTCGTACATGTAGCATGCTTACATGGTCATCTATGGACGCAACAATGGCCGCTCCTACATCCCATGCATGAGTGTTACAGACACTGCTCCTTGGGAACACTCACCCAGATTCAGCTGGAGGTGCTCAGGGTGGGTGGGCTTGAAGGGGCGGATAACGCGCACATACACGTCTTCCAGATACTTCACGTCCTCCTCCACTGCAGCTGAGGAGAGACACAAAAATTGATTGAACATCTGCATCTTACCATATAATCTCTTTCGTAAATTTTAAAGTTTAAAGCAATATGAAGTGTCCTCACAGACAGAGTTTTATACATGTATAATGCAAGACTCCATTTACCTTTTGAGATGACAGTAACAGATTCGTTGTTGTTGAAGTCCCGTTGTCACCATTCTTGGTACTAGACTTAGAGATCCAGCGTCTGCGACTGTGAACGGGCTGGCCAATGGCTGACATGATTTCTTGTGCCAGGAGGTTCTCCTCAGTCAGGCCTTTCTTTGGATCTCGTCTAATGGCCACATCCGATGCTCGGACGAACGGGGTTGGAATTTTCTCCAAGAAGCCAAACTTCCCATGCCAGGCCTGAACATCTGGGAAGATGTACTTCTGTGAGGTGACATCACAGGTGGCATTGATGATGTCATCGACAGCTATGTCATCAATGGCCGCCTTCAGGAAGCTGCTCCTGAAGCAACACACAATACCTTCATTAATATAAACAAAGCATAGGTTAACTATCAAAGCAACGCAAAGACAAGTCAGTCTGACTCAGTCATTTAGAAGATTAACTCTAAATGCAATTAAAAGTGAGGGAGCCGGTACACACTGATGCAATGATCATAGCTTTCTTCTACCCGATCCTGATTACTATTCAACACTTGGAGAGAAACACAGAGAGGGGAGAAAAGGAAAGAGCATCAAAACTTTGGATCAATACACTGTAACACAGATAAGCCAGCCCTATTGCTGTACCTGTCACCGTTGTCAGGCGAGCATGTCTTGACAACAAAGTCTCTGAGACTGGAGATCAAGGACTCCAACTGACTCTTCTGCAGGTCACATGCTTCTTGACATGCATGGTCAGAGGTCTGGGTGGGTGGAGGGAGGGAGGGGGACAAACAGAACAGGGAATAGATAGAGAAAGGAAAGCAAACAAACTAAAAAGTAACAAAGAGAAGGACAGAAAAAACACAAGCACAAAACAGACGTAAACAAGATTGAGAGACAGACGTGAATGAACGTTGGTGCTTTACATGGCATGTGCATGTATAGGTTTCAGTAAGTGGAGCGTTTACTCACACAGAGAAAGGGGGTTACAAAGGGATTAAGATAAACAGTTCTGTAAGAAAGGAGTCCTTCAAAGAATGAGTAGGAATGGCTGGAAACTCAGATGTGAGCACCCCTGTTTTTAATGCTCACCTTTCTCAGCCTGTTCACAAGCTCGCTTTCCTCTTTCAACAGGCACTCATAACGGGCTTTGTGGGTCTGCTCCTTCTGATTGTGTTTAACCAGCTTGGACTCCAGAGTCCGGACTTTCTTCTCCAGCATACTTTGCTGAGACGTCTTGGACCTTTCCCCCACTTTCACTAGCTCAGCCTTCAGCTCGCTTATTCTCCTTTCATAATTACGAGAGGCAGCCATGGCCATTATTCCGCTCTGCAAAAATGGAGAAGACATTCACCTTGTCATATTGTACTTGAAATAAACACGCGTGTGTACAGTAGTATTCAGAATAGAAAACAAACTACATTCAAGTGTTTCATCCTAAGGGCAGTCGCCAGAATAACTCACCTCCTTCACCTCCTGAAGATGTTTGAGGCACACCATGTGTCTCTCAGTCAGGGACAGAAGTTCCCGGCTCAAGGCCTTGTGCTCAGACAACACGCCTCCCCTGTTAGTCGAGGCCAATCTGAAAACATCAACCACTAATATGAATGCCACTCTGTCCATGTTTTTAATAATCACACAGTCAAAACAACACGTGGATATATAGTCACACACGAATGACACTAACAAATGTTCATTACTCTTACCTTTTTAGAGAATGGATGGGTCCACCCTGGGTCGTCATATCACGTGACACAGCGAGAATATGATTAGCCTCCTGTTCGGAGGATATCAAGTAGCAGTCTAGAAGATGGCGAATCTCATAACTCTCGGAACAAGCTGAAAACGGAATAAAGAGAACTTGTGGGGTTGCTAATTAAGCAAAACAAACCTAAAGGAGTGCCCGAAGCAACATAACAGGAACATCAGTCAAAACGTTATTTTGAATAGTAGCTGAATAAGTAATTGCATGCTTACCATCTTGACTGACAGTGCCAAGCTTAGTCCTACAATCCTGACACCAGTCGAGCAGCTTTTCGGCGTATGAATTGCTGATGCCTACCCGGGACTTCATTATGTCCACCCAGAAACGAGAAGGGTTCAAGCTGTAAACAGACAACATGAACTCCATCTGACCTGTGATAAAGTAGGGGCTATTGTTACGCGATTTGGCACGAAATTGGCATATTGTTTTAGGGCGAAAATGTAAGAATATCATCGCCAATATTGTCGACAATTCTAAATAGACTTTTTACACAGTTAGAAAAGGGGAACGGGATGAGGCATTTAAGGCAGATTGATTGCTAAAATTCTTTGATGTATCTGGGTAGACCTTGTTGAAGTTATGTACAAAATGGCGTCCAACTCGGACATAGCAACGAGAACGTCCGTTACATTTAATTTGGAGATTCCGTCACACTGCGTGCAGAATGGAACCAAAGAAAGTTACTTACAGTTCCCCGTCGTTCTGGAGATGATGAAAATCGGGTAGATGGATCTCGTTCATACTTGGAAACGCAGAGAAAAGACAATTTGGGCAGAACTTATGCGGTCAACTGTTGCGAAACTGGTTGCTACTCAGGCAATGGCGGCCTTGCGATTGTGACGTCACAGAAACGATTCCGTCACGTCTCGGTAAAGTCCGTCATTGCAGGCTTAAGCTGGTTCCTGGCTCCCTTTGCGCGCACCAACTAGCGACATGCAAGACGGGGCCCAGCTTATTGCAGGCTGGGCACGACATGCATTAACATGGCAGTCTGGAAATATGCGGGGAATACAGGAACATAGACAGATATCCCGTCACCGAGAAGCGTGGCCCGCATGAGATGCTGAGTGTGTTGGTCTTTGACGGTTGCCGATTTTAGTCCAAATTGATGTGTGCAAGTATATGGAGCTCATAAGTCCAGGAACTGGTTATTCCTGTACCATTTTGTCGATGATATCGTGTCATATATCATTAGAAAGATGATATCCTCAAGTATATGACAAGATTACAATTATAGATTGATATCTGGTCTGCCAGGAGGAAGGCAAACGATACCGAAAGTCGCAATACTTTAGTCTTACAGACTTGAGTATATGGACCTCATAAATTCAGATATTTATTACGCCTACACTATTTTATGGATGATATCGTGCCGCATATCATTGAAGGGATTATATCCTCAAGTATACGACAAAATCCCAATCATAGATAAATATCTTGTCTGCGAGGAGGGAGACGAGAGATACTAAAAGTCGCAATTCGCAAGTTTTGCCGACTTTCAGTCCAACTTTAAGCGTGCAAGTATCCGGGAATAACAAGTTCAGAAATTGATTGCTCATGTACCATTTTGTCGATGATATCGTTCCATATATCATTAAAAAGCACATATCCTCAAGTATATGACAAAATTACAATCACAGAAAAATATCGTTTCTGAGAGCAATGAGACCATAGATACCAAAAGTCGCAATTCTTTAGGTTTACCGACTTTAGTAAATGGACCTCATACTTTCAGGTATTTATCACGCCTACACTATTACATGGATGATGTGGTGCCATATATCATTATAGAGATTATATCCTCAAGTATACGACAAAATTAGTAACATAAAACAATATCGTTTCTGCGAGCAATGAGACGAAAGATAAGGAAAGTCGCAATTCTTAATGGTTGTCAATTTAGCTATGACATTTTATACGTGGTAGTATGTGACCCTTAATGCATGTGGCGAGAATTTGTCAGTGCCATCCCGCCATGTGCCACTGAAAAGGCTACATCTTCTAGTGTGAGGGAAAATGAAGATGAAAACTAAACATCCATTCTGCCAGCAGACTCAAAGTCAGAAGTCTGTGTTGTTTCCGATTGTTGAGCAGCCCTGAATGTTCGGGGATTATTTGGGATGATTTTATAATTCTATAGCAATATTCAGTTCCCACTTAGTCCGGCTTATAATTAGGGAGCTCGATACCTATACTACCCTCCTTTAGTGTTTCCTCAGGAAAAATGTATGGTGTACATAGATAGCTTGGGTGTTGTGCGTGGGAGTGAAGCGGCCCAAGTTTAACTTCGTGGTTTTAGCAAACTGTGTATATCATCAAACCATGTATATTTGTTCTTACGCCTGTATCTAGAGGCTCACCTTTTGATTTTCCGATTTCCCTTGCGATTAGAGGCCAGCCCTGTGTAAGTACGATAGAGTAAATTACACTCCCTGGTATGTGCAATGGATTGGTAGAAAATTTGAGTGACTTGCATGTTCTGTTTGTATATTCGATTCATACAGCCTTATTTGCCAGTACCCATCTGTACTTTTTCCAATGAAAGATCATGAACAGCGACGCGCGTAGGGATTCGACGGGCCTGGTAGTGTCCACAACTGAAATAGTCCCTTGATCGAGGAAGCCATGTCCCATTATTGTTCCACTGAACTGCTGTGTCTGACCCTCCCTACATTCGGGGTGACGCACGTGGAATCTCATCTACCCGCCACAGCCCGAGTCCCCACTTTCACAGTCGAATGGGACTACTTCAAAGGTACATGAACCCGCCCGACCTGCTTGACCCCACTTCAGACCCCACTACGGCCACGCGCATTTTACGGCCGCTTTTCTGTGCTACTCTCAATATCAGTCTCCCTGAGAAACAGCCCCACCTGCTTCACCCGACTTCAGACCCCACTTTGTCAGATCCAAGGAAGGCACAGAGTAATGAAAACAGACAAAATGTGTACACCTTCATCAATGTGTATTCACAGTAGAAAATAAAGTTTTTACAACATATACAACTGAAATGAAATGAAAGTCTAGTTCTCCAAGATCACGTGATCTGCAGGATAAAATCCATGCCGCTTCTTCCGACCCCCAAGCCCACGCCGACACCACCCAAAGGACATGCCCCGTACGTCCATGGGGAATTTTTGCTTGATACGCATGCCTGCAAGAAACAGAAGTAACACCATAATCCAAGAGAACCATACAAATATACAAAAAGACGCGCAGCATGCACAGTTTTAGTTATCACTTGCTTCACTTCCACTCCCAACAGAAGGACCACTCAGACTAACCTCGTACATGTAGCATGCTTACATGGTCATCTATGGACGCAACAATGGCCGCTCCTACATCCCATGCTTGAGTGTTACAGACACTGCTCCTTGGGAACACTCACCCAGATTCAGCTGGAGGTGCTCAGGGTGGGTGGGCTTGAAGGGGCGGATAACGCGCACATACACGTCTTCCAGATACTTCACGTCCTCCTCCACTGCAGCTGAGGAGAGACACAAAAATTGATTGAACATCTGCATCTTACCATATAATCTCTTTCGTAAATTTTAAAGTTTAAAGCAATATGAAGTGTCCTCACAGACAGAGTTTTATACATGTATAATGCAAGACTCCATTTACCTTTTGAGATGACAGTAACAGATTCGTTGTTGTTGAAGTCACCGTTGTCACCATTCTTGGTACTAGACTTAGAGATCCAGCGTCTGCGACTGTGAACGGGCTGGCCAATGGCTGACATGATTTCTTGTGCCAGGAGGTTCTCCTCAGTCAGGCCTTTCTTTGGATCTCGTCTAATGGGCCACATCCGATGCTCGGACGAACGGGGTTGGAATTTTCTCCAAGAAGCCAAACTTCCCATGCCAGGCCTGAACATCTGGGAAGATGTACTTCTGTGAGGTGACATCACAGGTGGCATTGATGATGTCATCGACAGCTATGTCATCAATGGCCGCCTTCAGGAAGCTGCTCCTGAAGCAACACACAATACCTTCATTAATATAAACAAAGCATAGGTTAACTATCAAAGCAACGCAAAGACAAGTCAGTCTGACTCAGTCATTTAGAAGATTAACTCTAAATGCAATTAAAAGTGAGGGAGCCGGTACACACTGATGCAATGATCATAGCTTTCTTCTACCCGATCCTGATTACTATTCAACACTTGAGAGAAACACAGAGAGAGGGAGAAAAGGAAAGAGCATCAAAACTTTGGATCAATACACTGTAACACAGATAAGCCAGCCCTATTGCTGTACCTGTCACCGTTGTCAGGCGAGCATGTCTTGACAACAAAGTCTCTGAGACTGGAGATCAAGGACTCCAACTGACTCTTCTGCAGGTCACATGCTTCTTGACATGCATGGTCAGAGGTCTGGGTGGGTGGAGGGAGGGAGGGGGACAAACAGAACAGGGAATAGATAGAGAAAGGAAAGCAAACAAACTAAAAAGTAACAAAGAGAAGGACAGAAAAAACACAAGCACAAAACAGACGTAAACAAGATTGAGAGACAGACGTGAATGAACGTTGGTGCTTTACATGGCATGTGCATGTGCATGTATAGGTTTCAGTAAGTGGAGCGTTTACTCACACAGAGAAAGGGGGTTACAAAGGGATTAAGATAAACAGTTCTGTAAGAAAGGAGTCCTTCAAAGAATGAGTAGGAATGGCTGGAAACTCAGATGTGAGCACCCCTGTTTTAATGCTCACCTTTCTCAGCCTGTTCACAAGCTCGCTTTCCTCTTTCAACAGGCACTCATAACGGGCTTTGTGGGTCTGCTCCTTCTGATTGTGTTTAACCAGCTTGGACTCCAGAGTCCGGACTTTCTTCTCCAGCATACTTTGCTGAGACGTCTTGGACCTTTCCCCCACTTTCACTAGCTCAGCCTTCAGCTCGCTTATTCTCCTTTCATAATTACGAGAGGCAGCCATGGCCATTATTCCGCTCTGCAAAATGGAGAAGACATTCACCTTGTCATATTGTACTTGAAATAAACACGCGTGTGTACAGTAGTATTCAGAATAGAAAACAAACTACATTCAAGTGTTTCATCCTAAGGGCAGTCGCCAGAATAACTCACCTCCTTCACCTCCTGAAGATGTTTGAGGCACACCATGTGTCTCTCAGTCAGGGACAGAAGTTCCCGGCTCAAGGCCTTGTGCTCAGACAACACGCCTCCCCTGTTAGTCGAGGCCAATCTGAAAACATCAACCACTAATATGAATGCCACTCTGTCCATGTTTTTAATCACACAGTCAAAACAACACGTGGATATATAGTCACACACGAATGACACTAACAAATGTTCATTACTCTTACCTTTTTAGAGAATGGATGGGTCCACCCTGGGTCGTCATATCACGTGACACAGCGAGAATATGATTAGCCTCCTGTTCGGAGGATATCAAGTAGCAGTCTAGAAGATGGCAAATCTCATAACTCTCGGAACAAGCTGAAAACGGAATAAAGAGAACTTGTGGGGCTGCTAATTAAGCAAAACAAACCTAAAGGAGTGCCCGAAGCAACATAACAGGAACATCAGTCAAAACGTTATTTTGAATAGTAGCTGAATAAGTAATCGCATGCTTACCATCTTGACTGACAGTGCCAAGCTTAGTCCTACAATCCTGACACCAGTCGAGCAGCTTTTCGGCGTATGAATTGCTGATGCCTACCCGGGACTTCATTATGTCCACCCAGAAACGAGAAGGGTTCAAGCTGTAAACAGACAACATGAACTCCATCTGACCTGTGATAAAGTAGGGGCTATTGTTACGCGATTTGGCACGAAATTGGCATATTGTTTTAGGGCGAAAATGTAAGAATATCATCGCCAATATTGTCGACAATTCTAAATAGACTTTTACACAGTTAGAAAAGGGGAACGGGATGAGGCATTTAAGGCAGATTGATTGCTGAAATTCTTTTATGTATCTGGGTAGACCTTGTTGAAGTTATGTACAAAATGGCGTCCAACTCGGACATAGCAACGAGAACGTCCGTTACATTTAATTTGGAGATTCCGTCACACTGCGTGCAGAATGGAACCAAAGAAAGTTACTTACAGTTCCCCGTCGTTCTGGAGATGATGAAAATCGGGTAGATGGATCTCGTTCATACTTGGAAACGCAGAGAAAAGACAATTTGGGCAGAGCTTATGCGGTCAACTGATGCGAAACTGGTTGCTACTCAGGCAATGGCGGCCTTGCGATTGTGACGTCACAGAAACGATTCCGTCACGTCTCGGTAAAGTCCGTCATTGCAGGCTTAAGCTGGTTCCTGGCTCCCTTTGCGGCGCACCAACTAGCGACATGCAAGACGGGGCCCAGCTTATTGCAGGCTGGGTACGACATGCATTAACATGGCAGTCTGGAAATATGCGGGGAATACAGGAACATAGACAGATATCCCGTCACCGAGAAGCGTGGCCCGCATGAGATGCTGAGTGTGTTGGTCTTTGACGGTTGCCGATTTTAGTCCAAATTGATGTGTGCAAGTATATGGAGCTCATAAGTCCAGGAACTGGTTATTCCTGTACCATTTTGTCGATGATATCGTGTCATATATCATTAGAAAGATGATATCCTCAAGTATATGACAAGATTACAATTATAGATTGATATCTGGTCTGCCAGGAGGAAGGCAAACGATACCGAAAGTCGCAATACTTTAGTCTTACAGACTTGAGTATATGGACCTCATAAATTCAGATATTTATTACGCCTACACTATTTTATGGATGATATCGTGCCGCATATCATTGAAGGGATTATATCCTCAAGTATACGACAAAATCCCAATCATAGATAAATATCTTGTCTGCGAGGAGGGAGACGAGAGATACTAAAAGTCGCAATTCGCAAGTTTTGCCGACTTTCAGTCCAACTTTAAGCGTGCAAGTATCCGGGAAGAACAAGTTCAGAAATTGATTGCTCATGTACCATTTTGTCGATGATATCGTTCCATATATCCTTAAAAAGCACATATCCTCAAGTATATGACAAAATTACAATCACAGAAAAATATCGTTTCTGAGAGCAATGAGACCATAGATACCAAAAGTCGCAATTCTTTAGGTTTACCGACTTTAGTAAATGGACCTCATACTTTCAGGTATTTATCACGCCTACACTATTACATGGATGATGTGGTGCCATATATCATTATAGAGATTATATCCTCAAGTATACGACAAAATTAGTAACATAAAACAATATCGTTTCTGCGAGCAATGAGACGAAAGATAAGGAAAGTCGCAATTCTTAATGGTTGTCAATTTAGCTATGACATTTTATACGTGGTAGTATGTGACCCTTAATGCATGTGGCGAGAATTTGTCAGTGCCATCCCGCCATGTGCCACTGAAAAGGCTACATCTTCTAGTGTGAGGGAAAATGAAGATGAAAACTAAACATCCATTCTGCCAGCAGACTCAAAGTCAGAAGTCTGTGTTGTTTCCGATTGTTGAGCAGCCCTGAATGTTCGGGGATTATTTGGGATGATTTTATAATTCTATAGCAATATTCAGTTCCCACTTAGTCCGGCTTATAATTAGGGAGCTCGATACCTATACTACCCTCCTTTAGTGTTTCCTCAGGAAAAATGTATGGTGTACATAGATAGCTTGGGTGTTGTGCGTGGGAGTGAAGCGGCCCAAGTTTAACTTCGTGGTTTTAGCAAACTGTGTATATCATCAAACCATGTATATTTGTTCTTACGCCTGTATCTAGAGGCTCACCTTTTGATTTTCCGATTTCCCTTGCGATTAGAGGCCAGCCCTGTGTAAGTACGATAGAGTAAATTACACTCCCTGGTATGTGCAATGGATTGGTAGAAAATTTGAGTGACTTGCATGTTCTGTTTGTATATTCGATTCATACAGCCTTATTTGCCAGTACCCATCTGTACTTTTTCCAATGAAAGATCATGAACAGCGACGCGCGTAGGGATTCGACGGGCCTGGTAGTGTCCACAACTGAAATAGTCCCTTGATCGAGGAAGCCATGTCCCATTATTGTTCCACTGAACTGCTGTGTCTGACCCTCCCTACATTCGGGGGTGACGCACGTGGAATCTCATCTACCCGCCACAGCCCGAGTCCCCACTTTCACAGTCGAATGGGACTACTTCAAAGGTACATGAACCCGCCCGACCTGCTTGACCCCACTTCAGACCCCACTACGGCCACGCGCATTTTACGGCCGCTTTTCTGTGCTACTCTCAATATCAGTCTCCCTGAGAAACAGCCCCACCTGCTTCACCCGACTTCAGACCCCACTTTGTCAGATCCAAGGAAGGCACAGAGTAATGAAAACAGACAAAATGTGTACACCTTCATCAATGTGTATTCACAGTAGAAAATAAAGTTTTACAACATATACAACTGAAATGAAATGAAAGTCTAGTTCTCCAAGATCACGTGATCTGCAGGGTAAAATCCATGCCGCTTCTTCCGACCCCCAAGCCCACGCCGACACCACCCAAAGGACATGCCCCGTACGTCCATGGGGAATTTTGCTTGATACGCATGCCTGCAAGAAACAGAAGTAACACCATAATCCAAGAGAACCATACAAATATACAAAGAGACACGCAGCATGCACAGTTTTAGTAATCACTTGCTTCACTTCCACTCCCAACAGAAGGACCACTCAGACTAACCTCGTACATGTAGCATGCTTACATGGTCATCTATGGACGCAACAATGGCCGCTCCTACATCCCATGCATGAGTGTTACAGACACTGCTCCTTGGGAACACTCACCCAGATTCAGCTGGAGGTGCTCAGGGTGGGTGGGCTTGAAGGGGCGGATAACGCGCACATACACGTCTTCCAGATACTTCACGTCCTCCTCCACTGCAGCTGAGGAGAGACACAAAAATTCATTGAACATCTGCATCTTACCATATAATCTCTTTCGTAAATTTTAAAGTTTAAAGCAATATGAAGTGTCCTCACAGACAGAGTTTTATACATGTATAATACAAGACTCCATTTACCTTTTGAGATGACAGTAACAGATTCGTTGTTGTTGAAGTCACCGTTGTCACCATTCTTGGTACTAGACTTAGAGATCCAGCGTCTGCGACTGTGAACGGGCTGGCCAATGGCTGACATGATTTCTTGTGCCAGGAGGTTCTCCTCAGTCAGGCCTTTCTTTGGATCTCGTCTAATGGCCACATCCGATGCTCGGACGAACGGGGTTGGAATTTTCTCCAAGAAGCCAAACTTCCCATGCCAGGCCTGAACATCTGGGAAGATGTACTTCTGTGAGGTGACATCACAGGTGGCATTGATGATGTCATCGACAGCTATGTCATCAATGGCCGCCTTCAGGAAGCTGCTCCTGAAGCAACACACAATACCTTCATTAATATAAACAAAGCATAGGTTAACTATCAAAGCAACGCAAAGACAAGTCAGTCTGACTCAGTCATTTAGAAGATTAACTCTAAATGCAATTAAAAGTGAGGGAGCCGGTACACACTGATGCAATGATCATAGCTTTCTTCTACCCGATCCTGATTACTATTCAACACTTGGAGAGAAACACAGAGAGAGGGAGAAAAGGAAAGAGCATCAAAACTTTGGATCAATACACTGTAACACAGATAAGCCAGCCCTATTGCTGTACCTGTCACCGTTGTCAGGCGAGCATGTCTTGACAACAAAGTCTCTGAGACTGGAGATCAAGGACTCCAACTGACTCTTCTGCAGGTCACATGCTTCTTGACATGCATGGTCAGAGGTCTGGGTGGGTGGAGGGAGGGAGGGGGACAAACAGAACAGGGAATAGATAGAGAAAGGAAAGCAAACAAACTAAAAAGTAACAAAGAGAAGGACAGAAAAAACACAAGCACAAAACAGACGTAAACAAGATTGAGAGACAGACGTGAATGAACGTTGGTGCTTTACATGGCATGTGCATGTGCATGTGCATGTATAGGTTTCAGTAAGTGGAGCGTTTACTCACACAGAGAAAGGGGGTTACAAAGGGATTAAGATAAACAGTTCTGTAAGAAAGGAGTCCTTCAAAGAATGAGTAGGAATGGCTGGAAACTCAGATGTGAGCACCCCTGTTTTTAATGCTCACCTTTCTCAGCCTGTTCACAAGCTCGCTTTCCTCTTTCAACAGGCACTCATAACGGGCTTTGTGGGTCTGCTCCTTCTGATTGTGTTTAACCAGCTTGGACTCCAGAGTCCGGACTTTCTTCTCCAGCATACTTTGCTGAGACGTCTTGGACCTTTCCCCCACTTTCACTAGCTCAGCCTTCAGCTCGCTTATTCTCCTTTCATAATTACGAGAGGCAGCCATGGCCATTATTCCGCTCTGCAAAAATGGAGAAGACATTCACCTTGTCATATTGTACTTGAAATAAACACGCGTGTGTACAGTAGTATTCAGAATAGAAAACAAACTACATTCAAGTGTTTCATCCTAAGGGCAGTCGCCAGAATAACTCACCTCCTTCACCTCCTGAAGATGTTTGAGGCACACCATGTGTCTCTCAGTCAGGGACAGAAGTTCCCGGCTCAAGGCCTTGTGCTCAGACAACACGCCTCCCCTGTTAGTCGAGGCCAATCTGAAAACATCAACCACTAATATGAATGCCACTCTGTCCATGTTTTTAATCACACAGTCAAAACAACACGTGGATATATAGTCACACACGAATGACACTAACAAATGTTCATTACTCTTACCTTTTTAGAGAATGGATGGGTCCACCCTGGGTCGTCATATCACGTGACACAGCGAGAATATGATTAGCCTCCTGTTCGGAGGATATATCAAGTAGCAGTCTAGAAGATGGCAAATCTCATAACTCTCGGAACAAGCTGAAAACGGAATAAAGAGAACTTGTGGGGCTGCTAATTAAGCAAAACAAACCTAAAGGAGTGCCCGAAGCAACATAACAGGAACATCAGTCAAAACGTTATTTTGAATAGTAGCTGAATAAGTAATCGCATGCTTACCATCTTGACTGACAGTGCCAAGCTTAGTCCTACAATCCTGACACCAGTCGAGCAGCTTTTCGGCGTATGAATTGCTGATGCCTACCCGGGACTTCATTATGTCCACCCAGAAACGAGAAGGGTTCAAGCTGTAAACAGACAACATGAACTCCATCTGACCTGTGATAAAGTAGGGGCTATTGTTACGCGATTTGGCACGAAATTGGCATATTGTTTTAGGGCGAAAATGTAAGAATATCATCGCCAATATTGTCGACAATTCTAAATAGACTTTACACAGTTAGAAAAGGGGAACGGGATGAGGCATTTAAGGCAGATTGATTGCTGGAATTCTTTTATGTATCTGGGTAGACCTTGTTGAAGTTATGTACAAAATGGCGTCCAACTCGGACATAGCAACGAGAACGTCCGTTACATTTAATTTGGAGATTCCGTCACACTGCGTGCAGAATGGAACCAAAGAAAGTTACTTACAGTTCCCCGTCGTTCTGGAGATGATGAAAATCGGGTAGATGGATCTCGTTCATACTTGGAAACGCAGAGAAAAGACAATTTGGGCAGAGCTTATGCGGTCAACTGATGCGAAACTGGTTGCTACTCAGGCAATGGCGGCCTTGCGATTGTGACGTCACAGAAACGATTCCGTCACGTCTCGGTAAAGTCCGTCATTGCAGGCTTAAGCTGGTTCCTGGCTCCCTTTGCGCGCACCAACTAGCGACATGCAAGACGGGGCCCAGCTTATTGCAGGCTGGGCACGACATGCATTAACATGGCAGTCTGGAAATATTCGGGGAATACAGGAACATAGACAGATATCCCGTCACCGAGAAGCGTGGCCCGCATGAGATGCTGAGTGTGTTGGTCTTTGACGGTTGCCGATTTTAGTCCAAATTGATGTGTGCAAGTATATGGAGCTCATAAGTCCAGGAACTGGTTATTCCTGTACCATTTTGTCGATGATATCGTGTCATATATCATTAGAAAGATGATATCCTCAAGTATATGACAAGATTACAATTATAGATTGATATCTGGTCTGCCAGGAGGAAGGCAAACGATACCGAAAGTCGCAATACTTTAGTCTTACAGACTTGAGTATATGGACCTCATAAATTCAGATATTTATTACGCCTACACTATTTTATGGATGATATCGTGCCGCATATCATTGAAGGGATTATATCCTCAAGTATACGACAAAATCCCAATCATAGATAAATATCTTGTCTGCGAGGAGGGAGACGAGAGATACTAAAAGTCGCAATTCGCAAGTTTTGCCGACTTTCAGTCCAACTTTAAGCGTGCAAGTATCCGGGAATAACAAGTTCAGAAATTGATTGCTCATGTACCATTTTGTCGATGATATCGTTCCATATATCATTAAAAGCACATATCCTCAAGTATATGACAAAATTACAATCACAGAAAAATATCGTTTCTGAGAGCAATGAGACCATAGATACCAAAAGTCGCAATTCTTTAGGTTTACCGACTTTAGTAAATGGACCTCATACTTTCAGGTATTTATCACGCCTACACTATTACATGGATGATGTGGTGCCATATATCATTATAGAGATTATATCCTCAAGTATACGACAAAATTAGTAACATAAAACAATATCGTTTCTGCGAGCAATGAGACGAAAGATAAGGAAAGTCGCAATTCTTAATGGTTGTCAATTTAGCTATGACATTTTATACGTGGTAGTATGTGACCCTTAATGCATGTGGCGAGAATTTGTCAGTGCCATCCCGCCATGTGCCACTGAAAAGGCTACATCTTCTAGTGTGAGGGAAAATGAAGATGAAAACTAAACATCCATTCTGCCAGCAGACTCAAAGTCAGAAGTCTGTGTTGTTTCCGATTGTTGAGCAGCCCTGAATGTTCGGGGATTATTTGGGATGATTTTATAATTCTATAGCAATATTCAGTTCCCACTTAGTCCGGCTTATAATTAGGGAGCTCGATACCTATACTACCCTCCTTTAGTGTTTCCTCAGGAAAAATGTATGGTGTACATAGATAGCTTGGGTGTTGTGCGTGGGAGTGAAGCGGCCCAAGTTTAACTTCGTGGTTTTAGCAAACTGTGTATATCATCAAACCATGTATATTTGTTCTTACGCCTGTATCTAGAGGCTCACCTTTTGATTTTCCGATTTCCCTTGCGATTAGAGGCCAGCCCTGTGTAAGTACGATAGAGTAAATTACACTCCCTGGTATGTGCAATGGATTGGTAGAAAATTTGAGTGACTTGCATGTTCTGTTTGTATATTCGATTCATACAGCCTTATTTGCCAGTACCCATCTGTACTTTTTCCAATGAAAGATCATGAACAGCGACGCGCGTAGGGATTCGACGGGCCTGGTAGTGTCCACAACTGAAATAGTCCCTTGATCGAGGAAGCCATGTCCCATTATTGGTCCACTGAACTGCTGTGTCTGACCCTCCCTACATTCGGGGGTGACGCACGTGGAATCTCATCTACCCGCCACAGCCCGAGTCCCCACTTTCACAGTCGAATGGGACTACTTCAAAGGTACATGAACCCGCCCGACCTGCTTGACCCCACTTCAGACCCCACTACGGCCACGCGCATTTTACGGCCGCTTTTCTGTGCTACTCTCAATATCAGTCTCCCTGAGAAACAGCCCCACCTGCTTCACCCGACTTCAGACCCCACTTTGTCAGATCCAAGGAAGGCACAGAGTAATGAAAACAGACAAAATGTGTACACCTTCATCAATGTGTATTCACAGTAGAAAATAAAGTTTTTACAACATATACAACTGAAATGAAATGAAAGTCTAGTTCTCCAAGATCACGTGATCTGCAGGGTAAAATCCATGCCGCTTCTTCCGACCCCCAAGCCCACGCCGACACCACCCAAAGGACATGCCCCGTACGTCCATGGGGAATTTTTGCTTGATACGCATGCCTGCAAGAAACAGAAGTAACACCATAATCCAAGAGAACCATACAAATATACAAAGAGACACGCAGCATGCACAGTTTTAGTAATCACTTGCTTCACTTCCACTCCCAACAGAAGGACCACTCAGACTAACCTCGTACATGTAGCATGCTTACATGGTCATCTATGGACGCAACAATGGCCGCTCCTACATCCCATGCATGAGTGTTACAGACACTGCTCCTTGGGAACACTCACCCAGATTCAGCTGGAGGTGCTCAGGGTGGGTGGGCTTGAAGGGGCGGATAACGCGCACATACACGTCTTCCAGATACTTCACGTCCTCCTCCACTGCAGCTGAGGAGAGACACAAAAATTGATTGAACATCTGCATCTTACCATATAATCTCTTTCGTAAATTTTAAAGTTTAAAGCAATATGAAGTGTCCTCACAGACAGAGTTTTATACATGTATAATACAAGACTCCATTTACCTTTTGAGATGACAGTAACAGATTCGTTGTTGTTGAAGTCACCGTTGTCACCATTCTTGGTACTAGACTTAGAGATCCAGCGTCTGCGACTGTGAACGGGCTGGCCAATGGCTGACATGATTTCTTGTGCCAGGAGGTTCTCCTCAGTCAGGCCTTTCTTTGGATCTCGTCTAATGGCCACATCCGATGCTCGGACGAACGGGGTTGGAATTTTCTCCAAGAAGCCAAACTTCCCATGCCAGGCCTGAACATCTGGGAAGATGTACTTCTGTGAGGTGACATCACAGGTGGCATTGATGATGTCATCGACAGCTATGTCATCAATGGCCGCCTTCAGGAAGCTGCTCCTGAAGCAACACACAATACCTTCATTAATATAAACAAAGCATAGGTTAACTATCAAAGCAACGCAAAGACAAGTCAGTCTGACTCAGTCATTTAGAAGATTAACTCTAAATGCAATTAAAAGTGAGGGAGCCGGTACACACTGATGCAATGATCATAGCTTTCTTCTACCCGATCCTGATTACTATTCAACACTTGGAGAGAAACACAGAGAGGGGAGAAAAGGAAAGAGCATCAAAACTTTGGATCAATACACTGTAACACAGATAAGCCAGCCCTATTGCTGTACCTGTCACCGTTGTCAGGCGAGCATGTCTTGACAACAAAGTCTCTGAGACTGGAGATCAAGGACTCCAACTGACTCTTCTGCAGGTCACATGCTTCTTGACATGCATGGTCAGAGGTCTGGGTGGGTGGAGGGAGGGAGGGGGACAAACAGAACAGGGAATAGATAGAGAAAGGAAAGCAAACAAACTAAAAAGTAACAAAGAGAAGGACAGAAAAAACACAAGCACAAAACAGACGTAAACAAGATTGAGAGACAGACGTGAATGAACGTTGGTGCTTTACATGGCATGCATGCATGTGCATGTATAGGTTTCAGTAAGTGGAGCGTTTACTCACACAGAGAAAGGGGGTTACAAAGGGATTAAGATAAACAGTTCTGTAAGAAAGGAGTCCTTCAAAGAATGAGTAGGAATGGCTGGAAACTCAGATGTGAGCACCCCTGTTTTTAATGCTCACCTTTCTCAGCCTGTTCACAAGCTCGCTTTCCTCTTTCAACAGGCACTCATAACGGGCTTTGTGGGTCTGCTCCTTCTGATTGTGTTTAACCAGCTTGGACTCCAGAGTCCGGACTTTCTTCTCCAGCATACTTTGCTGAGACGTCTTGGACCTTTCCCCCACTTTCACTAGCTCAGCCTTCAGCTCGCTTATTCTCCTTTCATAATTACGAGAGGCAGCCATGGCCATTATTCCGCTCTGCAAAAATGGAGAAGACATTCACCTTGTCATATTGTACTTGAAATAAACACGCGTGTGTACAGTAGTATTCAGAATAGAAAACAAACTACATTCAAGTGTTTCATCCTAAGGGCAGTCGCCAGAATAACTCACCTCCTTCACCTCCTGAAGATGTTTGAGGCACACCATGTGTCTCTCAGTCAGGGACAGAAGTTCCCGGCTCAAGGCCTTGTGCTCAGACAACACGCCTCCCCTGTTAGTCGAGGCCAATCTGAAAACATCAACCACTAATATGAATGCCACTCTGTCCATGTTTTTAATCACACAGTCAAAACAACACGTGGATATATAGTCACACACGAATGACACTAACAAATGTTCATTACTCTTACCTTTTAGAGAATGGATGGGTCCACCCTGGGTCGTCATATCACGTGACACAGCGAGAATATGATTAGCCTCCTGTTCGGAGGATATCAAGTAGCAGTCTAGAAGATGGCAAATCTCATAACTCTCGGAACAAGCTGAAAACGGAATAAAGAGAACTTGTGGGGCTGCTAATTAAGCAAAACAAACCTAAAGGAGTGCCCGAAGCAACATAACAGGAACATCAGTCAAAACGTTATTTTGAATAGTAGCTGAATAAGTAATCGCATGCTTACCATCTTGACTGACAGTGCCAAGCTTAGTCCTACAATCCTGACACCAGTCGAGCAGCTTTTCGGCGTATGAATTGCTGATGCCTACCCGGGACTTCATTATGTCCACCCAGAAACGAGAAGGGTTCAAGCTGTAAACAGACAACATGAACTCCATCTGACCTGTGATAAAGTAGGGGCTATTGTTACGCGATTGGGCACGAAATTGGCATATTGTTTTAGGGCGAAAATGTAAGAATATCATCGCCAATATTGTCGACAATTCTAAATAGACTTTACACAGTTAGAAAAGGGGAACGGGATGAGGCATTTAAGGCAGATTGATTGCTGGAATTCTTTTATGTATCTGGGTAGACCTTGTTGAAGTTATGTACAAAATGGCGTCCAACTCGGACATAGCAACGAGAACGTCCGTTACATTTAATTTGGAGATTCCGTCACACTGCGTGCAGAATGGAACCAAAGAAAGTTACTTACAGTTCCCCGTCGTTCTGGAGATGATGAAAATCGGGTAGATGGATCTCGTTCATACTTGGAAACGCAGAGAAAAGACAATTTGGGCAGAGCTTATGCGGTCAACTGATGCGAAACTGGTTGCTACTCAGGCAATGGCGGCCTTGCGATTGTGACGTCACAGAAACGATTCCGTCACGTCTCGGTAAAGTCCGTCATTGCAGGCTTAAGCTGGTTCCTGGCTCCCTTTGCGCGCACCAACTAGCGACATGCAAGACGGGGCCCAGCTTATTGCAGGCTGGGTACGACATGCATTAACATGGCAGTCTGGAAATATGCGGGGAATACAGGAACATAGACAGATATCCCGTCACCGAGAAGCGTGGCCCGCATGAGATGCTGAGTGTGTTGGTCTTTGACGGTTGCCGATTTTAGTCCAAATTGATGTGTGCAAGTATATGGAGCTCATAAGTCCAGGAACTGGTTATTCCTGTACCTTTTGTCGATGATATCGTGTCATATATCATTAGAAAGATGATATCCTCAAGTATATGACAAGATTACAATTATAGATTGATATCTGGTCTGCCAGGAGGAAGGCAAACGATACCGAAAGTCGCAATACTTTAGTCTTACAGACTTGAGTATATGGACCTCATAAATTCAGATATTTATTACGCCTACACTATTTTATGGATGATATCGTGCCGCATATCATTGAAGGGATTATATCCTCAAGTATACGACAAAATCCCAATCATAGATAAATATCTTGTCTGCGAGGAGGGAGACGAGAGATACTAAAAGTCGCAATTCGCAAGTTTTGCCGACTTTCAGTCCAACTTTAAGCGTGCAAGTATCCGGGAATAACAAGTTCAGAAATTGATTGCTCATGTACCATTTTGTCGATGATATCGTTCCATATATCATTAAAAGCACATATCCTCAAGTATATGACAAAATTACAATCACAGAAAAATATCGTTTCTGAGAGCAATGAGACCATAGATACCAAAAGTCGCAATTCTTTAGGTTTACCGACTTTAGTAAATGGACCTCATACTTTCAGGTATTTATCACGCCTACACTATTACATGGATGATGTGGTGCCATATATCATTATAGAGATTATATCCTCAAGTATACGACAAAATTAGTAACATAAAACAATATCGTTTCTGCGAGCAATGAGACGAAAGATAAGGAAAGTCGCAATTCTTAATGGTTGTCAATTTAGCTATGACATTTTATACGTGGTAGTATGTGACCCTTAATGCATGTGGCGAGAATTTGTCAGTGCCATCCCGCCATGTGCCACTGAAAAGGCTACATCTTCTAGTGTGAGGGAAAATGAAGATGAAAACTAAACATCCATTCTGCCAGCAGACTCAAAGTCAGAAGTCTGTGTTGTTTCCGATTGTTGAGCAGCCCTGAATGTTCGGGGATTATTTGGGATGATTTTATAATTCTATAGCAATATTCAGTTCCCACTTAGTCCGGCTTATAATTAGGGAGCTCGATACCTATACTACCCTCCTTTAGTGTTTCCTCAGGAAAAATGTATGGTGTACATAGATAGCTTGGGTGTTGTGCGTGGGAGTGAAGCGGCCCAAGTTTAACTTCGTGGTTTTAGCAAACTGTGTATATCATCAAACCATGTATATTTGTTCTTACGCCTGTATCTAGAGGCTCACCTTTTGATTTTCCGATTTCCCTTGCGATTAGAGGCCAGCCCTGTGTAAGTACGATAGAGTAAAATTACACTCCCTGGTATGTGCAATGGATTGGTAGAAAATTTGAGTGACTTGCATGTTCTGTTTGTATATTCGATTCATACAGCCTTATTTGCCAGTACCCATCTGTACTTTTTCCAATGAAAGATCATGAACAGCGACGCGCGTAGGGATTCGACGGGCCTGGTAGTGTCCACAACTGAAATAGTCCCTTGATCGAGGAAGCCATGTCCCATTATTGGTCCACTGAACTGCTGTGTCTGACCCTCCCTACATTCGGGGGTGACGCACGTGGAATCTCATCTACCCGCCACAGCCCGAGTCCCCACTTTCACAGTCGAATGGGACTACTTCAAAGGTACATGAACCCGCCCGACCTGCTTGACCCCACTTCAGACCCCACTACGGCCACGCGCATTTTACGGCCGCTTTTCTGTGCTACTCTCAATATCAGTCTCCCTGAGAAACAGCCCCACCTGCTTCACCCGACTTCAGACCCCACTTTGTCAGATCCAAGGAAGGCACAGAGTAATGAAAACAGACAAAATGTGTACACCTTCATCAATGTGTATTCACAGTAGAAAATAAAGTTTTTACAACATATACAACTGAAATGAAATGAAAGTCTAGTTCTCCAAGATCACGTGATCTGCAGGGTAAAATCCATGCCGCTTCTTCCGACCCCCAAGCCCACGCCGACACCACCCAAAGGACATGCCCCGTACGTCCATGGGGAATTTTTGCTTGATACGCATGCCTGCAAGAAACAGAAGTAACACCATAATCCAAGAGAACCATACAAATATACAAAGAGACACGCAGCATGCACAGTTTTAGTAATCACTTGCTTCACTTCCACTCCCAACAGAAGGACCACTCAGACTAACCTCGTACATGTAGCATGCTTACATGGTCATCTATGGACGCAACAATGGCCGCTCCTACATCCCATGCATGAGTGTTACAGACACTGCTCCTTGGGAACACTCACCCAGATTCAGCTGGAGGTGCTCAGGGTGGGTGGGCTTGAAGGGGCGGATAACGCGCACATACACGTCTTCCAGATACTTCACGTCCTCCTCCACTGCAGCTGAGGAGAGACACAAAAATTCATTGAACATCTGCATCTTACCATATAATCTCTTTCGTAAATTTTAAAGTTTAAAGCAATATGAAGTGTCCTCACAGACAGAGTTTTATACATGTATAATACAAGACTCCATTTACCTTTTGAGATGACAGTAACAGATTCGTTGTTGTTGAAGTCACCGTTGTCACCATTCTTGGTACTAGACTTAGAGATCCAGCGTCTGCGACTGTGAACGGGCTGGCCAATGGCTGACATGATTTCTTGTGCCAGGAGGTTCTCCTCAGTCAGGCCTTTCTTTGGATCTCGTCTAATGGCCACATCCGATGCTCGGACGAACGGGGTTGGAATTTTCTCCAAGAAGCCAAACTTCCCATGCCAGGCCTGAACATCTGGGAAGATGTACTTCTGTGAGGTGACATCACAGGTGGCATTGATGATGTCATCGACAGCTATGTCATCAATGGCCGCCTTCAGGAAGCTGCTCCTGAAGCAACACACAATACCTTCATTAATATAAACAAAGCATAGGTTAACTATCAAAGCAACGCAAAGACAAGTCAGTCTGACTCAGTCATTTAGAAGATTAACTCTAAATGCAATTAAAAGTGAGGGAGCCGGTACACACTGATGCAATGATCATAGCTTTCTTCTACCCGATCCTGATTACTATTCAACACTTGGAGAGAAACACAGAGAGAGGGAGAAAAGGAAAGAGCATCAAAACTTTGGATCAATACACTGTAACACAGATAAGCCAGCCCTATTGCTGTACCTGTCACCGTTGTCAGGCGAGCATGTCTTGACAACAAAGTCTCTGAGACTGGAGATCAAGGACTCCAACTGACTCTTCTGCAGGTCACATGCTTCTTGACATGCATGGTCAGAGGTCTGGGTGGGTGGAGGGAGGGAGGGGGACAAACAGAACAGGGAATAGATAGAGAAAGGAAAACAAACAAACTAAAAGTAACAAAGAGAAGGACAGAAAAAACACAAGCACAAAACAGACGTAAACAAGATTGAGAGACAGACGTGAATGAACGTTGGTGCTTTACATGGCATGTGCATGTGCATGTGCATGTATAGGTTTCAGTAAGTGGAGCGTTTACTCACACAGAGAAAGGGGGTTACAAAGGGATTAAGATAAACAGTTCTGTAAGAAAGGAGTCCTTCAAAGAATGAGTAGGAATGGCTGGAAACTCAGATGTGAGCACCCCTGTTTTTAATGCTCACCTTTCTCAGCCTGTTCACAAGCTCGCTTTCCTCTTTCAACAGGCACTCATAACGGGCTTTGTGGGTCTGCTCCTTCTGATTGTGTTTAACCAGCTTGGACTCCAGAGTCCGGACTTTCTTCTCCAGCATACTTTGCTGAGACGTCTTGGACCTTTCCCCCACTTTCACTAGCTCAGCCTTCAGCTCGCTTATTCTCCTTTCATAATTACGAGAGGCAGCCATGGCCATTATTCCGCTCTGCAAAAATGGAGAAGACATTCACCTTGTCATATTGTACTTGAAATAAACACGCGTGTGTACAGTAGTATTCAGAATAGAAAACAAACTACATTCAAGTGTTTCATCCTAAGGGCAGTCGCCAGAATAACTCACCTCCTTCACCTCCTGAAGATGTTTGAGGCACACCATGTGTCTCTCAGTCAGGGACAGAAGTTCCCGGCTCAAGGCCTTGTGCTCAGACAACACGCCTCCCCTGTTAGTCGAGGCCAATCTGAAAACATCAACCACTAATATGAATGCCACTCTGTCCATGTTTTTAATCACACAGTCAAAACAACACGTGGATATATAGTCACACACGAATGACACTAACAAATGTTCATTACTCTTACCTTTTAGAGAATGGATGGGTCCACCCTGGGTCGTCATATCACGTGACACAGCGAGAATATGATTAGCCTCCTGTTCGGAGGATATCAAGTAGCAGTCTAGAAGATGGCAAATCTCATAACTCTCGGAACAAGCTGAAAACGGAATAAAGAGAACTTGTGGGGCTGCTAATTAAGCAAAACAAACCTAAAGGAGTGCCCGAAGCAACATAACAGGAACATCAGTCAAAACGTTATTTTGAATAGTAGCTGAATAAGTAATCGCATGCTTACCATCTTGACTGACAGTGCCAAGCTTAGTCCTACAATCCTGACACCAGTCGAGCAGCTTTTCGGCGTATGAATTGCTGATGCCTACCCGGGACTTCATTATGTCCACCCAGAAACGAGAAGGGTTCAAGCTGTAAACAGACAACATGAACTCCATCTGACCTGTGATAAAGTAGGGGCTATTGTTACGCGATTGGGCACGAAATTGGCATATTGTTTTAGGGCGAAAATGTAAGAATATCATCGCCAATATTGTCGACAATTCTAAATAGACTTTACACAGTTAGAAAAGGGGAACGGGATGAGGCATTTAAGGCAGATTGATTGCTGGAATTCTTTTATGTATCTGGGTAGACCTTGTTGAAGTTATGTACAAAATGGCGTCCAACTCGGACATAGCAACGAGAACGTCCGTTACATTTAATTTGAGATTCCGTCACACTGCGTGCAGAATGGAACCAAAGAAAGTTACTTACAGTTCCCCGTCGTTCTGGAGATGATGAAAATCGGGTAGATGGATCTCGTTCATACTTGGAAACGCAGAGAAAAGACAATTTGGGCAGAGCTTATGCGGTCAACTGATGCGAAACTGGTTGCTACTCAGGCAATGGCGGCCTTGCGATTGTGACGTCACAGAAACGATTCCGTCACGTCTCGGTAAAGTCCGTCATTGCAGGCTTAAGCTGGTTCCTGGCTCCCTTTGCGCGCACCAACTAGCGACATGCAAGACGGGGCCCAGCTTATTGCAGGCTGGGTACGACATGCATTAACATGGCAGTCTGGAAATATGCGGGGAATACAGGAACATAGACAGATATCCCGTCACCGAGAAGCGTGGCCCGCATGAGATGCTGAGTGTGTTGGTCTTTGACGGTTGCCGATTTTAGTCCAAATTGATGTGTGCAAGTATATGGAGCTCATAAGTCCAGGAACTGGTTATTCCTGTACCATTTTGTCGATGATATCGTGTCATATATCATTAGAAAGATTATATCCTCAAGTATATGACAAGATTACAATTATAGATTGATATCTGGTCTGCCAGGAGGAAGGCAAACGATACCGAAAGTCGCAATACTTTAGTCTTACAGACTTGAGTATATGGACCTCATAAATTCAGATATTTATTACGCCTACACTATTTTATGGATGATATCGTGCCGCATATCATTGAAGGGATTATATCCTCAAGTATACGACAAAATCCCAATCATAGATAAATATCTTGTCTGCGAGGAGGGAGACGAGAGATACTAAAAGTCGCAATTCGCAAGTTTTGCCGACTTTCAGTCCAACTTTAAGCGTGCAAGTATCCGGGAATAACAAGTTCAGAAATTGATTGCTCATGTACCATTTTGTCGATGATATCGTTCCATATATCATTAAAAAGCACATATCCTCAAGTATATGACAAAATTACAATCACAGAAAAATATCGTTTCTGAGAGCAATGAGACCATAGATACCAAAAAGTCGCAATTCTTTAGGTTTACCGACTTTAGTAAATGGACCTCATACTTTCAGGTATTTATCACGCCTACACTATTACATGGATGATGTGGTGCCATATATCATTATAGAGATTATATCCTCAAGTATACGACAAAATTAGTAACATAAAACAATATCGTTTCTGCGAGCAATGAGACGAAAGATAACGAAAGTCGCAATTCTTAATGGTTGTCAATTTAGCTATGACATTTTATACGTGGTAGTATGTGACCCTTAATGCATGTGGCGAGAATTTGTCAGTGCCATCCCGCCATGTGCCACTGAAAAGGCTACATCTTCTAGTGTGAGGGAAAATGAAGATGAAAACTAAACATCCATTCTGCCAGCAGACTCAAAGTCAGAAGTCTGTGTTGTTTCCGATTGTTGAGCAGCCCTGAATGTTCGGGGATTATTTGGGATGATTTTATAATTCTATAGCAATATTCAGTTCCCACTTAGTCCGGCTTATAATTAGGGAGCTCGATACCTATACTACCCTCCTTTAGTGTTTCCTCAGGAAAAATGTATGGTGTACATAGATAGCTTGGGTGTTGTGCGTGGGAGTGAAGCGGCCCAAGTTTAACTTCGTGGTTTTAGCAAACTGTGTATATCATCAAACCATGTATATTTGTTCTTACGCCTGTATCTAGAGGCTCACCTTTTGATTTTCCGATTTCCCTTGCGATTAGAGGCCAGCCCTGTGTAAGTACGATAGAGTAAATTACACTCCCTGGTATGTGCAATGGATTGGTAGAAAATTTGAGTGACTTGCATGTTCTGTTTGTATATTCGATTCATACAGCCTTATTTGCCAGTACCCATCTGTACTTTTTCCAATGAAAGATCATGAACAGCGACGCGCGTAGGGATTCGACGGGCCTGGTAGTGTCCACAACTGAAATAGTCCCTTGATCGAGGAAGCCATGTCCCATTATTGGTCCACTGAACTGCTGTGTCTGACCCTCCCTACATTCGGGGGTGACGCACGTGGAATCTCATCTACCCGCCACAGCCCGAGTCCCCACTTTCACAGTCGAATGGGACTACTTCAAAGGTACATGAACCCGCCCGACCTGCTTGACCCCACTTCAGGCCCCACTACGGCCACGCGCATTTTACGGCCGCTTTTCTGTGCTACTCTCAATATCAGTCTCCCTGAGAAACAGCCCCACCTGCTTCACCCGACTTCAGACCCCACTTTGTCAGATCCAAGGAAGGCACAGAGTAATGAAAACAGACAAAATGTGTACACCTTCATCAATGTGTATTCACAGTAGAAAATAAAGTTTTTACAACATATACAACTGAAATGAAATGAAAGTCTAGTTCTCCAAGATCACGTGATCTGCAGGGTAAAATCCATGCCGCTTCTTCCGACCCCCAAGCCCACGCCGACACCACCCAAAGGACATGCCCCGTACGTCCATGGGGAATTTTTGCTTGATACGCATGCCTGCAAGAAACAGAAGTAACACCATAATCCAAGAGAACCATACAAATATACAAAGAGACACGCAGCATGCACAGTTTTAGTAATCACTTGCTTCACTTCCACTCCCAACAGAAGGACCACTCAGACTAACCTCGTACATGTAGCATGCTTACATGGTCATCTATGGACGCAACAATGGCCGCTCCTACATCCCATGCATGAGTGTTACAGACACTGCTCCTTGGGAACACTCACCCAGATTCAGCTGGAGGTGCTCAGGGTGGGTGGGCTTGAAGGGGCGGATAACGCGCACATACACGTCTTCCAGATACTTCACGTCCTCCTCCACTGCAGCTGAGGAGAGACACAAAAATTGATTGAACATCTGCATCTTACCATATAATCTCTTTCGTAAATTTTAAAGTTTAAAGCAATATGAAGTGTCCTCACAGACAGAGTTTTATACATGTATAATACAAGACTCCATTTACCTTTTGAGATGACAGTAACAGATTCGTTGTTGTTGAAGTCACCGTTGTCACCATTCTTGGTACTAGACTTAGAGATCCAGCGTCTGCGACTGTGAACGGGCTGGCCAATGGCTGACATGATTTCTTGTGCCAGGAGGTTCTCCTCAGTCAGGCCTTTCTTTGGATCTCGTCTAATGGCCACATCCGATGCTCGGACGAACGGGGTTGGAATTTTCTCCAAGAAGCCAAACTTCCCATGCCAGGCCTGAACATCTGGGAAGATGTACTTCTGTGAGGTGACATCACAGGTGGCATTGATGATGTCATCGACAGCTATGTCATCAATGGCCGCCTTCAGGAAGCTGCTCCTGAAGCAACACACAATACCTTCATTAATATAAACAAAGCATAGGTTAACTATCAAAGCAACGCAAAGACAAGTCAGTCTGACTCAGTCATTTAGAAGATTAACTCTAAATGCAATTAAAAGTGAGGGAGCCGGTACACACTGATGCAATGATCATAGCTTTCTTCTACCCGATCCTGATTACTATTCAACACTTGGAGAGAAACACAGAGAGAGGGAGAAAAGGAAAGAGCATCAAAACTTTGGATCAATACACTGTAACACAGATAAGCCAGCCCTATTGCTGTACCTGTCACCGTTGTCAGGCGAGCATGTCTTGACAACAAAGTCTCTGAGACTGGAGATCAAGGACTCCAACTGACTCTTCTGCAGGTCACATGCTTCTTGACATGCATGGTCAGAGGTCTGGGTGGGTGGAGGGAGGGAGGGGACAAACAGAACAGGGAATAGATAGAGAAAGGAAAGCAAACAAACTAAAAAGTAACAAAGAGAAGGACAGAAAAAACACAAGCACAAAACAGACGTAAACAAGATTGAGAGACAGACGTGAATGAACGTTGGTGCTTTACATGGCATGTGCATGTGCATGTATAGGTTTCAGTAAGTGGAGCGTTTACTCACACAGAGAAAGGGGGTTACAAAGGGATTAAGATAAACAGTTCTGTAAGAAAGGAGTCCTTCAAAGAATGAGTAGGAATGGCTGGAAACTCAGATGTGAGCACCCCTGTTTTTAATGCTCACCTTTCTCAGCCTGTTCACAAGCTCGCTTTCCTCTTTCAACAGGCACTCATAACGGGCTTTGTGGGTCTGCTCCTTCTGATTGTGTTTAACCAGCTTGGACTCCAGAGTCCGGACTTTCTTCTCCAGCATACTTTGCTGAGACGTCTTGGACCTTTCCCCCACTTTCACTAGCTCAGCCTTCAGCTCGCTTATTCTCCTTTCATAATTACGAGAGGCAGCCATGGCCATTATTCCGCTCTGCAAAAATGGAGAAGACATTCACCTTGTCATATTGTACTTGAAATAAACACGCGTGTGTACAGTAGTATTCAGAATAGAAAACAAACTACATTCAAGTGTTTCATCCTAAGGGCAGTCGCCAGAATAACTCACCTCCTTCACCTCCTGAAGATGTTTGAGGCACACCATGTGTCTCTCAGTCAGGGACAGAAGTTCCCGGCTCAAGGCCTTGTGCTCAGACAACACGCCTCCCCTGTTAGTCGAGGCCAATCTGAAAACATCAACCACTAATATGAATGCCACTCTGTCCATGTTTTTAATCACACAGTCAAAACAACACGTGGATATATAGTCACACACGAATGACACTAACAAATGTTCATTACTCTTACCTTTTTAGAGAATGGATGGGTCCACCCTGGGTCGTCATATCACGTGACACAGCGAGAATATGATTAGCCTCCTGTTCGGAGGATATCAAGTAGCAGTCTAGAAGATGGCAAATCTCATAACTCTCGGAACAAGCTGAAAACGGAATAAAGAGAACTTGTGGGGCTGCTAATTAAGCAAAACAAACCTAAAGGAGTGCCCGAAGCAACATAACAGGAACATCAGTCAAAACGTTATTTTGAATAGTAGCTGAATAAGTAATCGCATGCTTACCATCTTGACTGACAGTGCCAAGCTTAGTCCTACAATCCTGACACCAGTCGAGCAGCTTTTCGGCGTATGAATTGCTGATGCCTACCCGGGACTTCATTATGTCCACCCAGAAACGAGAAGGGTTCAAGCTGTAAACAGACAACATGAACTCCATCTGACCTGTGATAAAGTAGGGGCTATTGTTACGCGATTGGGCACGAAATTGGCATATTGTTTTAGGGCGAAAATGTAAGAATATCATCGCCAATATTGTCGACAATTCTAAATAGACTTTACACAGTTAGAAAAGGGGAACGGGATGAGGCATTTAAGGCAGATTGATTGCTGGAATTCTTTTATGTATCTGGGTAGACCTTGTTGAAGTTATGTACAAAATGGCGTCCAACTCGGACATAGCAACGAGAACGTCCGTTACATTTAATTTGAGATTCCGTCACACTGCGTGCAGAATGGAACCAAAGAAAGTTACTTACAGTTCCCCGTCGTTCTGGAGATGATGAAAATCGGGTAGATGGATCTCGTTCATACTTGGAAACGCAGAGAAAAGACAATTTGGGCAGAGCTTATGCGGTCAACTGATGCGAAACTGGTTGCTACTCAGGCAATGGCGGCCTTGCGATTGTGACGTCACAGAAACGATTCCGTCACGTCTCGGTAAAGTCCGTCATTGCAGGCTTAAGCTGGTTCCTGGCTCCCTTTGCGCGCACCAACTAGCGACATGCAAGACGGGGCCCAGCTTATTGCAGGCTGGGTACGACATGCATTAACATGGCAGTCTGGAAATATGCGGGGAATACAGGAACATAGACAGATATCCCGTCACCGAGAAGCGTGGCCCGCATGAGATGCTGAGTGTGTTGGTCTTTGACGGTTGCCGATTTTAGTCCAAATTGATGTGTGCAAGTATATGGAGCTCATAAGTCCAGGAACTGGTTATTCCTCTACCATTTTGTCGATGATATCGTGTCATATATCATTAGAAAGATTATATCCTCAAGTATATGACAAGATTACAATTATAGATTGATATCTGGTCTGCCAGGAGGAAGGCAAACGATACCGAAAGTCGCAATACTTTAGTCTTACAGACTTGAGTATATGGACCTCATAAATTCAGATATTTATTACGCCCACACAATTTTATGGATGATATCGTGCCGCATATCATTGAAGGGATTATATCCTCAAGTATACGACAAAATCCCAATCATAGATAAATATCTTGTCTGCGAGGAGGGAGACGAGAGATACTAAAAGTCGCAATTCGCAAGTTTTGCCGACTTTCAGTCCAACTTTAAGCGTGCAAGTATCCGGGAATAACAAGTTCAGAAATTGATTGCTCATGTACCATTTTGTCGATGATATCGTTCCATATATCATTAAAAAGCACATATCCTCAAGTATATGACAAAATTACAATCACAGAAAAATATCGTTTCTGAGAGCAATGAGACCATAGATACCAAAAGTCGCAATTCTTGAGGGTTTACCGACTTTAGTAAATGGACCTCATACTTTCAGGTATTTATCACGCCTACACTATTACATGGATGATGTGGTGCCATATATCATTATAGAGATTATATCCTCAAGTATACGACAAAATTAGTAACATAAAACAATATCGTTTCTGCGAGCAATGAGACGAAAGATAAGGAAAGTCGCAATTCTTAATGGTTGTCAATTTAGCTATGACATTTTATACGTGGTAGTATGTGACCCTTAATGCATGTGGCGAGAATTTGTCAGTGCCATCCCGCCATGTGCCACTGAAAAGGCTACATCTTCTAGTGTGAGGGAAAATGAAGATGAAAACTAAACATCCATTCTGCCAGCAGACTCAAAGTCAGAAGTCTGTGTTGTTTCCGATTGTTGAGCAGCCCTGAATGTTCGGGGATTATTTGGGATGATTTTATAATTCTATAGCAATATTCAGTTCCCACTTAGTCCGGCTTATAATTAGGGAGCTCGATACCTATACTACCCTCCTTTAGTGTTTCCTCAGGAAAAATGTATGGTGTACATAGATAGCTTGGGTGTTGTGCGTGGGAGTGAAGCGGCCCAAGTTTAACTTCGTGGTTTTAGCAAACTGTGTATATCATCAAACCATGTATATTTGTTCTTACGCCTGTATCTAGAGGCTCACCTTTTGATTTTCCGATTTCCCTTGCGATTAGAGGCCAGCCCTGTGTAAGTACGATAGAGTAAATTACACTCCCTGGTATGTGCAATGGATTGGTAGAAAATTTGAGTGACTTGCATGTTCTGTTTGTATATTCGATTCATACAGCCTTATTTGCCAGTACCCATCTGTACTTTTCCAATGAAAGATCATGAACAGCGACGCGCGTAGGGATTCGACGGGCCTGGTAGTGTCCACAACTGAAATAGTCCCTTGATCGAGGAAGCCATGTCCCATTATTGGTCCACTGAACTGCTGTGTCTGACCCTCCCTACATTCGGGGGTGACGCACGTGGAATCTCATCTACCCGCCACAGCCCGAGTCCCCACTTTCACAGTCGAATGGGACTACTTCAAAGGTACATGAACCCGCCCGACCTGCTTGACCCCACTTCAGACCCCACTACGGCCACGCGCATTTTACGGCCGCTTTTCTGTGCTACTCTCAATATCAGTCTCCCTGAGAAACAGCCCCACCTGCTTCACCCGACTTCAGACCCCACTTTGTCAGATCCAAGAAAGGCACCACCCAAAGGACATGCCCCGTTCGTCCATGGGGAATTTTTGCTTGATACGCATGCCTGCAAGAAACAAGTAACGAGCAGGCGCTTTAACTACAAGGATACCGCACCGCCCCTGGGAAATGGTCTCACCCCAGACACATAAATGTTGTAAATGATACCAATTTGACTTCTGGGTTGAAGCCAAAGATAAATGTCCCTATAAATAGGTTAGATCACTCGGATTTTGGTTTCTAATCGTTGAAATCTTCAGTTAGGGACCCGAGACGCATTTCAACGATAAGACAGAAAGTCCTCGTGATCTCACGATACATGTTTCTTTGCTCTATTTACATTTAATGCATTGCCTTTTTTGCACTTTTATCGTGACTCGCAATCAAACTTATGTGTGTGCCGAGACCTCCTTCTTATATAATCAGACAGGGTAACAACAAGTACCATTTTATCGAAGCCAGGTATCATTTAACTGGGATGGGGGTTGATTAGTTCTACCAGTAAATATAATACGATGAACCAGTTTTTATACGCCACCCTCAAAGATCCGATGAAAAATATTTCTGCCAAGGCTGAACTACAGTAAACTACAGATATAAGGAACTCGTGGTGACCACTGATTTTACTTCGGTATAACCGTAGTCTGTTTTACGCATTTCGACTAAAATAGGCAGTGGCGGTGACCAAAGAACAGTTCGTTATACCAGAGACCATATTCTATTATATGGTGTCTGGTTAAACCAGCGTTCGAAATACCTGCCTGCCCGACCGCCCGGGACGGGTTATTTTCAACACGGACTGCCAGATTCTCACATTCACCTGCCCGACGATTGGGTTAAACTTTAGACATGTACATGTATATGAAGATATTTTTCGGGCAGGTAAGTTTTGGTCAGGGCTGGCAAGTTTTACATCTAACCAACCCTGTGGTCTGGCTGAAATTTTTGGAGGTTTCATACCGTGGGTATACACATGTATATGTTAGCAGATTTGTTATAAACCTACAGTGTATATTATAAGACTAACGCTTAGTATCTGAAAATATATAATTTTTGATAAACACAAACAATTCCTTTTAAATTGGAAAGGAGTCTGAGAGAGACGTGAGATTCTGTCGGAAGCTGAGGAAATCTAGACTTGCTTCATTCAGGGCTTGACAATCATTAGCTTTGCAGAAAGGGTTGGGCGGAAGTGAAAATAATGCGATTCAGTGACTGTGAGACAGACTACAGTATATATATTATGATCATGTGAAGCTGCCATCACTATCGTGCATACCTGAGACACAACATATACTCTACCACCTAGGCGATTCAGTAATTTCTACACCCAAATAGATTCCACTGTCTGAATAAACTGTCCCAATCTACCACCCCTTCACGCAGGAATAGAATCTACCAACACTGCCTTTCAATACGATGTAAACATTGCACCATTGCTAGTAAACTGTCAAGCTATATTTAGACCAGGTAATGTCACCAAACATCATCCTGTATTCTGTTAGTGCGCATATTAGGTAATACACGAAGGTTGAAGTAAGCAGTTTGAGCAGAAATCCAGTTAAATCATCTCATCAAGACCAGTTGTGTTACTGCGAGCGTTGCCAAGCTGACAGGTGAGTAAATTAAGACATTCGACGTGAGGCTGTCTGCTTTCAGGGGAGGTAACTGTGGCGTAGCACCCAAAATTGATATTTTTTGTAGAGCTAAAAACATATTGTATGTCCAGATTTAGTGGAACGTATGATTCGAAACAGTGACAATAAGTTGTCGACAGTGATTAGTATTATACATATGTGGAAAACGAAACGTTGACAAATATTATGCTGTGCTTAAAAGTTAAGGTGAGGTTAACCTCAGTGTTGTGGAATAAAAGGTGTCTTTCCTGAGAAATCTGCAGGATGAATTTCAGTAGTCATGGCAGATCTAAACTGAAACATATCTAATGCTATAATTTTTATGAATATCCTAGCCTAAACATAAACATGGTGATTATATAAGTCACACGTTTCCCAGATGAATTTTGAGGACTGAATGACTTCATTTTTCAGCTGTTAAGTTTGTATATTCTCTTTACAGGTAAACAGAATGATGTCTTGTTAACTCTGTTGCCAGCTCTTGTAAACCACTCTTCATTCCAAGTCAATCAGAGTTGGCAAAGAATTGTTAATCCAGTGGACTGATGATCAAGGTTTTATAAAAGGTAACAAAATCTCAGAGGTTAGTTATCATTTGTATGTAGAATGTATTATTGTTTGGTACCTAGGAGAAACTGTGATAAATCAGACCCAATAAGTACAAATCCTACTGATGTTACAATTATAACATGTTTTACATTAACTGTATTTTGTATCTAGGCTAGACTAACTCTTAGCATCTGAACATATGTAATTTTGATAGAAACAAACAATTCCTTTAAAATTTGACAAGGAGCCCCAGTTAGAAGGGAGATACAGACCCAACAGGAAATACAGGAAATCTAGACTTGCTTCATCTAGAGCTGCTAGCATTGCAGAAAGGGCTAGGCGGAAGGGAAAATAATGCGTTTCAGTGACTGAGACATACTATATCTAAGCCAGCTTCCATATTGCAAATAATCTATTCTAGGGCTGGCATGGGTAACCCGGATACCGGGGACGGTGGGTAATGAGTCGGACCCGGTACCCGCCTCAATACCCGACCCATCAGGATCATGTGACTAATAGATTAAACAATGTAATATGTTATTCTTTCATGATTAAAAGGTTGTATTGTCTTTGAAGACTTAGACATAATTACAGTCACTTCTTTTGAATAAAATACATGGTTAAGATATTAAGAAACTTGAAATTTTAGCCTCTGAGCTGAAGAATATTTTAGCCATTTCTTACAATTTTGATGTCAGGAATTAACATAACGAGTATCCGGGCAGGGTAGGGTAATAGGGGTGGGGTACCCAGGTAGAAATTTTGGACCTGTCCCAGCCCTAGTCTATTCAGTAGAAGCCTATCTACTCTTGAGATGAGTTTTTTCCTCTATAACAGGGTGTCTGAAATACAAAAAATGATACCAAACAATACTTTAAATTAGTGTAGGGACAGTTTATTTATTATAAGGGGTATGTATGAGATTTGTCTTAGAACTGTATTACATTTAGCTCACCTCCCACACACACCTTTTTGTAACATGTTTTCATGTTATGATGTATTGTTGGTATTATTGGTTTAATGCCCCATGCATCAATGTGTAAATTATTGTGTCGGGGCCTGATAATCTGATGATTAAACTGAGTCCATTCAAGTCTGATACAATGAAATTGATTTGGATATGATGTGGAGCTGTCTGAAAGAAAGCAGGTATAACAATCACTGACTCATCACAACCTGGCCGGCCAGGCATCTCAACCCAACCTCAGTCAAAATGCATCCCCAATCCTGCCCCTTTACCTCAACCCCAATCCAACCCCTTCTCTGTCCCTATCCACAAAGCATTCATAATGTTACGAGCTGTCGGAACTCTATAGTTTACTAT